ATTTGAGTTATATTTCTTGGCCCTTTTTGCCATTGTTTTTCCAATCCAAATTCCTTAATTAATAGTTAGGCCCAATCAATGTATTTTATTCTTGGCCCGTTAAAGCTAAATCTGCAAGCGTTATTAATGTGATCAGATATTTTGTACTCCCTGTGAGACCGAGTCTATCGTCATCTTCAACGGATCAAAAATTATGTGCGATTCCCTCTCGCACGTTCGCCCCTCACTTCTATATCTCAACCAATAATCATTCTTCTTTCATCAAAACTTTCCCAGCCTTCTCTGTTCTCTCTCTCTCGCGCTAGAGCTTGTTAAAAAAAATTCAATCGCGTTCCTGCATAAACCCGCGACCAGCTGTTCGTTGCCATCGCCGGCGTCCCTCCGAGTAGCACTCTCAGTCGCGCACCAGGTCCGTCCAGTCCCAGCATCCCGGTCGCTATCCATTCCGGCGACTTTAAGCTCCGCCCACCATTCTTTTCGGCGAGTGTCTCCGGCAAACTATTAGTCTCCGTTTCACAGCGAGTCTCGGTTGCTGTCCGTCGTGAGGAGCTTCTGTACGTGGACGTCGTTCGCAGTCAGCACCGTCCGGGAATTCCAAGTCCCGTCTGAGCATTTGAGTCCCAAAGTCGTTCGACTGTCCCGTTGTTTGGCCCGTTTCCCGTTCAATAATTCGTAGTTTCCTGAAGTCGGGTAACTTATTCTAATCCTCCCATTAATACGGTCATTTTCATATATCACGCGTTATATATATATGATGTGTTCAGTTTACCGAAAGTTGATTTGAAGTCGGCTTGTTTTTGGTTCACTTAATTGTTTGTGTGTATATTTTATTTATTCGTGGATTTTCGGAGGTGATTGGAACTCTCGATTTCATAAACATGAATACCGTTGTGTTTTTGGGAGAAATGTGCATAAGTTCGGAGTCTCGTTTTGTTGTTTCGAGTCGTCGTTAGGTTGTTCGGGTCGTTCGAACTCCCGGTCGTTCTTTTTGTTTTTATACTTGGTTATTTCTGTTTTCGAGCCAAAATTGTTTTTAAAAATATATTTCGGAACTTTGAAAATATGTTATTGTTGATAATCTCTCGAATCCAGTTGTCGTTAGATGTGTCGTCAAATTTGGTTGTAGATTTTCAGCCATGTTGTTTTTATTTTCACAAGTTTGCTCGCAGACCTGCAGTTGTTCCCAGGTTCTGTTGCTTTCTGCAGGATTTTTCTTACAGTTAAGTAATATTTATTTCATATATAATATTGAATAAGAGCTTGTGGCGCAGTGGTGAAATATGTTAATGTTTGGATGAGAGGTCAATGTTTCGAATCTGGCTTCTGCGCCTAGTTTCTTCTTTTTTTGTCCCAACCATGATGCGCGGGCTTCTGGCCCGAAATCCAGCCCGCGCGGCCCATCTTCCTCAGCTGCTTGGGCCCGCGCCCCAGCCCAGTTACAGCCCGCGTGCCTTAAGCTTGGGCCAGCCCCTTTTGGGCCCAATTTCAGCATATCTCAGGCCCAATTATAGGGCAATCCTTGGCCAGAAATTAAACAGTGTGGCCCAATTGATATTTAGCCAATTTTTGTGTCCCAGAGTCTGTTTTTCGTACCGATTTCAATTTAAAAAAAATATATTTTTAAAATAATAAATTTTGGGTAAAAGTATTTTAAGTCCCGAGACTCCATTTTGTACTCCGGGTCTTATTCTTTTAAAAATGAGAGAGTTCCAAGTCCACGAAAAATCTGATTAAAACACTTAAGTCTTAATTTTTATTATGTATGGGTTTTATGTTAAATTCGAGTAGTGAGATAGATTATTGATATATTATCTCGTTTAAATGTAGGTGTTTGAGGAGTCGAGCCCTCATCCTACGTAATTGTGATTGTGTGCTATTTTTCTACCGAGCTATCCAGGTGGGTTTACTTATAAAATTGTCTATGCCATACTGTTGTTTAATGTTTAGTTGGTATGACCAATGTATGAATGTGAACCATGTGGCCTACCGATGTGAGCTGTTACGGCCGTCGATACGGTTGTCCCCGTTTGAGTTACGGTACGGTTGCCCTTGCGAGGCAAGTCTCCTTAAGACCTAATGAAAGGCCATGTTCGTTACAGTGGCACGCACTCCCGTCGTTAGGGTTTATGCATCCCTTTTCCGCGGCTAATGATAGATGTGCACATGAGTGAGTTATTGTTACGATTGTTCGGAGATGAGACATGATGATGATTGATTTATATTCATGTTGCGACCATACCATCTTTACATGTTATTATGTGCATAGTAGTAAGCACTACTTTATCATGTGTGCTCATTCCCACCTGCTCTTCACGGATGCAGGTTAAGCAGTGGCCGGGTGACGGGACGAAGGACGAGTGGTGGTCTATTATATGTTTTGTTTTACTTCCGCTTTAATAATATGGTCTTTATGAACCTTTCTATTTTTTGGACATGTGAAAACTGTTTTCGAACTATGTTTTGATGTTTTGGAATATTTTGGAAAACCCTTTTATGAACCTTGAATAATCATGCTGTTTGATTTATGAAGTTTCAATTGTTCATATTGGAGATTATGTTGAGGTGTAAATCAGGTTAATGAAAACCTTGTGAAAAATCGGGTTTATGAATCCCCGTGAGTCCAGACACGACTTGGACTAAGTAAAATGTGTTGGTTAATGCCCTTGATTTCGAAAATGAATTGGAAAAATTTGTTCTGATTTTTAGAAAGTCCGGAATTTCTTTAAAATCAAAGTGGGGTGTTACAGTTTGGTATCAGGGCCAGTCTGCGTTTTTGTAGACTGGTTTTATATGTGAGTATGTGTTTAGACCTTGTAATATGACCACTCGTCTCCGTCACTCCGCGCTGCTTAAGGTATGTTTTGTTTAAGTATTAATGAAAATACATGATATGTAAATGGTACACGTGGTAATGAGACTACTTGTGGTATAATTGTTAATTCTTGGGGCTTAGGATCTATCCACCTTGATTTAATCGAACTCTAGTGTTTATTGACAAACTCTAAACTTCTGTAATTATGATTATCTTGTTTGTTTTTTCTAACCTTGTTCGGCTTATTCAATGTATAAGTACGAATACTCGTAACAACCGTAACCGTCAGGCATCCCCGCAACCTTCTCCACCCCGTCAGCACTAGGCCCCTCCGGCCATGGATCTTATTCAACTTATCGTCCAGTTTCAGAGGATGAATGCACCAACTTTCGCGGGGACTGAGAACCCCACAGCGGTGCTGGAGTGGATTAAAGAACTGGATAAAATCTTCGCTGTGCTTCCCCTCCCTGATCGTCAGTGAGTGTCCCTTGCAGCTTATCAGATGAAGGAGGATGCTTCCGACTGGTGGATTGACCACAGGGATCGGAGGCCGGAGGCGGAGCTTCATGCACTCACGCGTAGCAAGTTCCTTCCCCAGAGCTTTTGGGACAGAATGGAGCATGAGTTTTACCACTTGCAGCAGGGTAGCTCCAAAGTGGATGAGTATATCCGCACCTTCACCCGCATGTGCCTTTTTGCGGGCGACGCAGTGAACACCGATCCCAAGAAGGCCCACAAGTTTCTTAAGGGGCTCAATCAGAGGATCTGTGAACTAGTGGGAAGTCACGGACTGATGTCTTTCGCAGATACTGTTAGTCGGGCTCAGGAGGTAGAGAGCTGTCTTATTTCGATAGCCCCAGTCCCATCATATTATCATGCCTCCCAGCCTTCTCAGACCGCTGCTCAGTATGCTCAGCCCATCTCATCTGGGCCACCCGGCTCTAGCTCGGGCAAGAGGAAGTCCGATTATCAGAACAAGAAGAAGGGAAAGAAAGGGAACTTCGGCAGACGTGACGACCGACCCACTCAGGGTCAAATGCCGAGGTGCCCTAAATGCGGTAGATTCCACACCGGAGAGTGCTTAGCAGACCAGCGAGCTTGTTACAACTACAACCGTCTGGGTCATTATGCCAGCGTCTGCACTGAACCGAAGAGACAGCAACAGCAGTAGCCCTTTCCCCAGCAGCGTCAGCAGCAACTTCCCCCACCGCCACCTCATCAGCAGCATCAACAGCCCCCACCGTTCCAGCAGAGGGCTGAGGGTCAGGCCCGAGTCTATACCATCACCCCCGATGAGGCCTCCCGCAATGCAGGTACCATGTCCGTAATGCTTTCGATATCCCATGTGCCTGTTTTTGCTTTATGTGATACCGGTGCTACCCATTCGTTTTTTTCTTCTCGTTTATTGGAGGCTTTATCTATTGGCACCGTGCATGCTTGTGATCTTCTCGAGGTTAGTTTAGCCTCGGGAAAAATTATTATCTCTGATTCAGTTGTTCGCAATCTTCCTATCTGTATTGGTGGTCGAGTTCTGGAGGCCGACGTCTATGTAATTGATATGCGAGACTTTGACGTGATCTTGGGCATGGACTGGCTCACCCGTTACCGAGCCGATATCCGATGCCAGGAGCGCGAAGTCACCCTCTATCCTGTTTCCGATCAGCCTGTTGTGTTCTTTGGGGTGAGTTCGAGGACTGTGCCTCGGGTCATCTCTTCTATGCAAGCTAGGAAGAGCCTTTCCAACGGTAGATGTCAAGGCTATCTTGTTTCCATGGTATCCGACGATGTTGATGAGCGGGTGCCCGAGAGAGTATCTATTGTTTGCGAGTACCTCGACGTCTTTCCTGATGATTTGCCTGGAGGACCGCCCGACCGCCAGGTGGAGTTCACCATTGACCTAGTTCCAGGAGCCGGCCCCGTTTCTAAGGCCCCTTATCATATGGTGTCGAAGGTGCTTCAAGAGCTCAAGGCCCAGATCCAGGAGTTGCTCAAACTCAGTTTCATTCGTCCGAGTGTCTCGCTGTGGGGTGCGCCCATCCTATTCGTGAAGAAGAAAGATGGATCTATGCGCATGTGCATTGACTACCGGGAGTTGAATGCCCTTACAGTCAAGAACAAGTACCCCCTTCCCCGTATTGAGGACCTTTTCGACCGGCTGAGAGGAGCCAGCGTCTTCTCAAAGATTGACTTGCGTTCTGGCTATCATCAGCTGAAGATCCGAGAGTAGGATATTTCTAAGACTGCTTTCCGTACCCACTATGGCCACTATGAGTTCGTAGTCATGCGGTTCGGACTCAACAATGCCCCAGCCGTTTTCATGGACCTTATGAATAGGGTCTTTCATCCTTTCCTGGACCAGTTCGTCATTGTGTTGATCGACGACATTCTGGTCTATTCTCGAGATATCGATCAGCACAAGAAGCATCTGAGGATTGTGCTAGAGACTCTTCGCCGCGAGAAGTTGTATGCTAAGTTCTAGAAGTGCGAATTCTGGCTGAACCATGTGTCATTCCTTGGCCACATTGTGACAGCTCGAGGCATTGAGGTGGATCCCAGCAAGATTGAGGCAGTAAGCAAGTGGGATACCCCAAGAAGTGCCGCGGATGTTCGTAGTTTCCTGGGGTTAGCAGGATACTACAGGAGGTTTATCGAGGGCTTCTCGAAGATAGCCCAGCCACTGACCAACCTTACGAAGAAAGCCGTGAGGTTTGATTGGAGTCCTCAGTGCGAGGAGAGTTTCCAGGAGTTGAAGAGGAGACTCACTACCGCGCCTGTCCTATCCATACCCGACCCTACTTTGGAGTTCACCATCTATAGTGATGCTTCGAAGATGGGCTTGGGTTGTGTTCTCAGGCAGCAGGGGAAAGTCGTAGCCTATGCTTCGAGGCAGCTGAAGCCTCACGAGCAGAACTACCCCACTCATGATCTCAAGTTAGCTGCAGTTGTCCACGCCTTGAAGATTTGGCGGCACTACCTCTATGGAGGCAAGTGTGAGATCTTTACCGACCACAAGAGCCTAAAGTACATATTCACTCAGAAGGAGCTGAACATGAGGCAGCGTAGATGGTTGGAGCTGGTCAAGGACTACGACTGCACCATTAGCTATCACCCTGGGAAAGCTAACGTGGTAGCCGATGCCCTTAGCCGGAGGAGTTATGGCCAGTTGTCTTGCCTATTCACTAGGCATGATGTTCTTCTTCGGGAGTTCGACCGAGTCGACTTCGATAGCCGGGGGCGTGTTGACCTCTTTGGTTGTAGGACCGACTCTTCGAGAGAGAATAGTCGCCGAGCAACCGAATGACCGTTTCTTATGCTGGATTAGAGAGTTGTCAGAAGCCGGTAGAATTGGTGGATTCGCAGTTGCATCTGATGGGGCTTTGGTCTTCGAGGGTAGACTTTGTGTCCCGAAGGTGTGGGAACTGCGAAGGGAGATTTTGAGAGAGGCCCATAGTGCCCCGTACACTATCCATCCTGGTAGCACGAAGATGTATCAGGACTTGAGGAAGTCTTTCTGGTGGCGAGGCATGAAGAGGCAAGTAGCGAAGTTCGTGGATGGGTGTCTGGTGTGTCAGCAAGTGAAGGCTGAGCGCCAGAAACCGAGAGGGTTGTTGCAGCCCCTTGAGGTTCCTCTGTGGAAGTGGGAGTGCATCACCATGGATTTCTTAGTGGGACTGCCGAAGTCGAGGAGCGGGTATGATCGATTTGGGTGATAGTGGATCACCTTACGATGTCTGCCCATTTTCTGCCAGTCCAGACGACCATGAAGGCGAGTGATTACGCCGAATTGTTCGTCAAGGACATTGTTAAGCTTCATGGAGTGCCCGTGGAGATTGTTTCGGATCGAGATGCCAAGTTTCACATCCTAGTTCTGGAGGACGTTGCACCGAGCCATGGGGACGAGGTTGGAGTTCAGTACAACCTTTCACCCCGAGACAGATGGTCAGTGGGAGCGTACGATCCAGTACTTGGAGGATATATTAAGGGCCGTGGTCTTAGACCGAAGCCTGACTTGGGAGTATGCCCTTCCGCTAGTCGAGCTGACCTACAACAACAACTACCACTCTTCGATCAAGATGGTCCCGTACGAGGCTTTGTATAGACGTAAGGTCCAGACTCCTTTGTATTGGTATAAGGTTGGAGAGAGGAGGATTACGGGTCTGGATTTTGTTCAGAGTACTGCAGCGACAGTTGAGGAGATCTGAAAGACTATCAGGTCTGCCCAGGAGAGGCAGAAGGTCTATGCCGACCAGGAGAGGATAGAGCATGTTTATGCAGTGGGAGATCATGTCTTCTTGAAGGTTTCACCCATGAGAGGTGTGATTCGCTTCGGGAAGAAGGGGAAACTTAGACCTCGCTATATCGGGCCGTTTGAGATCCTCGACCGAGTCGGGAACTTAGCGTATCGGCTGGTATGCACGACGTGTTCCATGTCTCGATGCTTCGGAGGTATGTGCATAATCCTGATCCTGTGGTGGACTTCGGCGAGCTGCAGGTCGAGCGAGACCTTACCTACGAGGAGGTACCGACAGCCATCTTGGACCAGAAGGTCCACCGGCTGAGGAACCGGGCAATGAGCTTAGTGAAGGTGCAGTGGAGCCGACACGATAAGACTGAGTCGAATTGGGAGAGGGAGGACGATATTAGGAGGCGTTATCCGAACTTTGAGTTCTGAGTTCTCCTTTGTGTTTTATCGCTTTCTAGTTTATTTTCAAATTCCAAGGACGGAATTCTTTGTAAGGTGGGTAGACTGTAACGCCCCGTTCGTTCATGAATAAATGGATATTATTATCATTTTTATTATTATTATAATTATTATTATTATTACTATTATTATTATTATTATTATTATTATTATTATTATTAATATTGTGTGTATAATAAATATATATAAATCTGGTTTTATTTATTTATTTCGGGCCATATTCTATTAAATCGAATCGAGCTAAAATCTTTATTATCGCGTTGTATCCCTTCAAGCCCAATTAAATTGGTCTCGGCCTAATTTGAGTTATATTTCTTGGCCCTTTTTGCCATTGTTTTTCCAACCCAAAGTCCTTAATTAATAGTTAGGCCCAATCAATGTATTTTATCCTTAGCCCGTTAAAGCTAAATCTGCAAGCATTATTAATGTGATCAGATATTTTGTACTCCCTGTGAGACCGAGTCTATCGTCATCTTCAACGGATCAGAAATTATGTACGATTCCCTCTCGCACGTTCGCCCCTCACTTCTATATCTCAACCGATAATCATTCTTCTTTCATCAAAACTTTCCCAGCCTTCTCTGTTCTCTCTCTCTCTCGCGCTAGAGCTTGTTAAAAAAAAAATCAATCGCGTACCTGCATAAACCGACGACCAGCTGTTCGTTGCCATCACCGGCGTCCCTCCGAGTAGCACTCTCAGTCGTGCACCAGGTCCGTCCAGTCCCAGCATCCCGGTCGCTATCCATTTCGGCGACTTTAAGCTTCGCCCACCATTCTTTCCGGCGAGTGTCTCCGGCGAACTGTTAGTATCCGTTTTGCAGCGAGTCTCGATCTTCGTCCGTCGTGAGGAGCTTCTGTACGTGGACGTCGTTCGCAGTCAGCACCGGTCCGAGAATTCCAAGTCCCGTCCGAGCATTTGAGTCCCAAAGCCGTTCGGCTGTCCCGTTGTTTGGCCTGTTTCCCGTTCAATAATTCGTAGTTTCCCGAAGTCAGGTAACTTATTCTAATCCTCCCGTTAATACGGTCATTTTCATATATCACGCGTTATATATATATATATGATGTGTTCGGTTTACCGAAAGTTGATTTGAAGTCGGATTGTTTTTTGTTCACTTAATTGTTTGTGTGTATATTTCATTTATTCGTGGATTTTCGGAGGTGATTGGAACTCTCAATTTCATAAACGTGAATACCGCTGTGTTTTTGGGAGAAATGTGCATAAGTTCGGAGTCTCGTTTTGTTGTTTCGAGTCGTCGTTAGGTTGTTCGGGTCGTTCGAACTCCCGATCGTTCTTTTTGTTTTTATACTTGGTTATTCCGTTTTCGAGCCAAAAATTGTTGTTAAAAATATATTTCGGAACTTTGAAAATATGTTATTGTTGATAATCTCTCGAATCCTGTTGTCGTTAGATGTGTCGTTGTCAAATTTGGTTGTAGATTTTCAGCCATGTTGTTTTTATTTTCAC